CACAAACTCTGGTCTCCGCAGCCGTCGCCATTTCTCAAAAATGGTGGTCGACGCTTTTTGAATTTCAGGGCTCACCACGACCATACATTACAACATAATAACAAGATCTCTCTGGTGGTGGTGCACTAGCACTGGTACATGGTGGTGAACACTCAGCAGGAAATCACTACACAATGGCTTGAGAGCGAAGGAAAGACTTCTTGAAGCAAAACAAATTTTGAACACGCGATCTTGCACGAGCGCGCCCCACGCAAAGTGATGCCCTGGGAAACACGACAAGCGGGCAGGTGACGCGACTTTTGTTTGTATCCTTGTTACTTGTATTAATTGTAACTAAGTGTAACTATGACTATGAGCAAGAGTACATACACGTTTATGGACTCTTGCTATGAGTTTTCAGGCAACGTGACGTCGGCACTTCGACAGCTACATGTATATTGTGCGTTTAGGATGCTGCTTTTACGTGTGAAGCAGAGTGGCGCAGCGGAAGCGTGCTGGGCCCATAACCCAGAGGTCGATGGATCGAAACCATCCTCTGCTACCTCTTTTCTTTTTTTCTTTTTTTCTTCTCCACGTTTTGACCAGTGAATGTGGGTTGATGAGCTTGATCGTACGGAACCATACCATGCATGAAAGCAGAAGTACATGTGCCTGGGTCAGGTCCTGCCGAGGTCAAGTCCTGCCTAGGCAACGACTGCTAGATATTTGGAGCGATTATGCTGGTTACAATGCTAGCAGTTTTTTTGTTTTTGTTTTTTTGTTTTTGTTTTTTTTTGCTGATAGACTTAGTGCTACAGAATGGAAATCCTTGCAGTGGGAAATAATCACTCTTTGCCAGTGCATGGAAGCGAACAAGTATCTGCTGAATCTTGAAATCCGCATCGATATACTGCAGAACCACTGCACGTGACTCTCCCAGGGGGGGGGGGGGGGGGGGGCGGGGGAGTTTCATCAAAGATGACAGCAGCATACGTTGCCCCCAGTATCTGGTTCTTTAGTTCATCTACATGTACCTCCTTGCCGAGCAGGAATGGAATCAGCTGAGCCATGTGAGTGCTATATATTAGACGTCCGTAACCACTCTCCGGGAGAGGGCGCAGATAATTCACCTTACTGAGCCACATTCCAGCCTTTAGGAAAGTCGCAACAACGTTGGTTCGCCGAACAACATCTTCCGACACAGGTTGTGACTAACCGCTTCCCGCCAGGTCGGACGTGCTTTCACTTGCAAACTTGTTCCATGGAGCAGTTATTGCCTGTTGGTGAAGTTTCGCTTTTTCGTTCTCGCCTTTCCTTGCACATGTCGCTGGTCATTTGCATGCGCTTTCACATTGGCATGCGCTTTCACATTCGCATGCGCTTTAACAGCTAATGGTGAAATATGATCTTATAATCACAGTACTGCAACAAAGGTAAATGACCGGTATTGGTATGATAATGGTGACTGATTTAGTATAGTGAGTACAGTACTCAAATAGTGGAAAGTTTGGTGGTGGGAAACGTAGTGGAAAGTTAGGTGGTGAGAAACGTAGTGGAAAGTTAGGTGGTGAGAAACGTAGTGGAAAGTTAGGTGGTGAGAAATGTAGAGGAAGGTTAGGTGGTGAGAAACGTAGTGGAAAGTTAGGTGGTGAGAAATGTAGTGGAAAGTTAGGTGACGAGAAATGTAGTGGAAAGTTAGGTGACGAGAAATGTAGTGGAAAGTTCGGTGGTGAGAAATGTAGGGGAAAGTTAGGTGGTGAGAAAGGTAGTGAAAAGTTAGGTGGTGAGAACTGTAGTGAAACGTTAGGTGATGAGAAATGTAGTGGACCGTTAGGTGGTGAGAAATGTAGTGGAAAGTTAGGTGGTGAGAAATGTAGTGGAAAGTTAGGCGGTGAGAAATGTAGTGGAAAGTTAGATGGTGAGAAATGTAGTGGAAAGTTAGGTGGTGAGAAATGAAGTGGAAAGTTAGATGGTGAGAAATGTAGTGGAAAATTACGTGGTGAGAAATATAGTGGAAGGTTAGGTGGTGAGACCTGTAGTGAAAAGTTAGGTGGTGAGAAATTTAGTGGAACGTTGGGTGGTGAGAAATGTAGTGGAAAGTATGGTGGTGAGAAACGTAGTGAAACGTTAGGTGGTGAGAAATGTAGTGGAAAGTTAGGTGGTGAAAAATGTAGTGGAAAGTTAGGTGGTCAGAAATGCAGTGGAAAGTTAGGTGGTGAGAAATGTAGTGGAATGTTAGGTGGTGAGAAATGTAGTGGAAAGTTAGGTGGTGTGAAATGTAGTGGACAGTTAGATGGTGAGAAATGTAGTGGAAGGTTAGGTGGTGAGAAATGTAGTGAAATGTTAGGTGGTGAGAAATGTAGTGGAAAGTTAGATGGCGAGAAACGGAGTGTAAAGTTAGGTGGTGAGAACTGTAGTGAAATGTTAGGTGGTGAGAAATGTACTTGTAGTGGAAAATTGGGTGGTGAGAAATGTAGTGGAAAGTTAGGTGGTGAGAAATGTAGTGGAATGTTAGGTGGTGAGAAATGTAGAACGGTAGTGGAAAGTTCGGTGGTGAGAAATGTAGTGGAACGTTAGGTGGTGAGAAATGTAGTGGAAAGTGAGGTGGTGAGAAAAGTAGTGGAAAGTTCGGTGGTGAGAAATGTAGGGGAAAGTTTGGTGGTGAGAAAAGTAGTGGAAAGTTCGGTGGTGAGAAATGTAGGGGAAAGTTTGGTGGTGAGAAATGTCCACCATGACCAAACGTTGTGGGTAGTGGTGTAGGATTTGTGGGAGATGAAGCGGCTAAAGTATTCCACACACAGAAAATTCTATAATATTCACACAAGTTTACAAGAGATAGGAGGAGGAAGATGAAATGCGAGTCAGCTTTTCTACTGTAACCACGGTTATAAAATAACGTGTGGATCCAAAAGTTGCACTTTGCTGGCAACGTAGGAAGGGAGAGACAATAGCACAACCTTAGACACAGGCGAGTAGAAGATGGGGGTATATGTACTTGGACTGGCAGCTCCATGCAATACCCTCACGTGACTGGCAGCTCCATGCAATACCCTCACGTGACTGGCAGCTACATGCAATACCCTCACGTGACTGGCAGCTACATGCAATACCCTCACGTGACTGGCAGCTCCATGCAATACCGTCACGTGACTGGCAGCTCCATGCAATACCGTCACGTGACTGGCAGCTCCATGCAATACCCTCACGTGACTGGCAGCTCCATGCAATACCCTCACGTGACTGGCAACTGCATGCAATACCGTCACGTGACTGGCAGCTCCATGCAATACCGTCACGTGACTGGCAGCTCCATGCAATACCCTCACGTGACTGGCAACTGCATGCAATACCGTCACGTGACTGGCAGCTCCATGCAATACCCTCACGTGACTGGCAACTGCATGCAATACCGTCACGTGACTGGCAACTGCATGCAATACCCTCACGTGACTGGCAACTGCATGCAATACCGTCACGTGACTGGCAGCTCCATGCAATACCCTCACGTACATGTACATCGGTTGTACTTGTAGTACAGTAACACTGTATTTGCGCCAGAAGGAATGCTGTACAGCATTGGAAGGAATGCTGTACAGCATTGGAAGGAATGCTGTACAGCATTGGAAGGAATGCTGTACAGCATTGGAAGGAATGCTGTACAGCATTGGAAGGAATGCTAAGGGGAATTGTTTCCTATCAGCATTCCTCTTACAATAATTGTGATCTAGGGTGAGACGCGCAAACTACAGTAGAAGGCGCTGAAATATTCTTCACTTCAAAGTCTACTCACAAAACGTATTACGCATACTGATGGGGCAAGGGCCAATTTCACACCAATTTCACACCAACGGACAACTGTCCATTGATGGAATTGAGATGCTTCGGACCTCTTGTCCCACCAACAATTGGCTTCACAAATATAAAAATACTGTTTGTTAAACACAAAATAGGACAAAGTCGTCTTTACACACTTAAGGCTTGGGTCACACCTAAATACAGCTGAGGGATTGCGACAAAAAAATGGGACATAAGACGGAACAGGTTTGCGACAACAAGAAACGACATCAAACAAGAAGACTCCCTACAGCAGAGGCGACTCTGATTTATATGGCCAAGAAGTCCTTATCAGTGACTTGTGCTAGTGATAGAATCCAGCATGATTATCTAAAAAAATCTAAAATAATAGGATATGCGAGACACATTAAGAATAGACAGGAAGAGGTCGAGTAGAACAGCTATAGGCGTAATTGTTTCATTAGAATACATACCTCGACAGTGAGACATACTGAACAGAGAACACTTTTGTTATTGTGGGCTAGCGATCAGTGGCAAGTAACCAGCTATTATAAATGTTATCAATGTATCTACTAATGTTTCATTACACTGATTTCTTGTAAGGGCTAGATGTGTGAACATAGATAAGGGGCAGTGCATTAATCAGGTTGTGTACGTTGTGACTAAGCTGCTGTTCATCAGCTTTCCAGGAGGCCATGATGTAGAAGAGTAAGCTGTTTTGGAATTCTTGTCGGTGGTGACGCTAGATGCAAACTGTTTATCTTGCTGTGTATGCTGTGTCTACTACTCGGGATAATGCTAGTGGTAAAGGTGATGCTGCTGTTTCTCAGGCGTGGGATGCTGCCATTTTGGTGTCAGTGGCAGTGAAATCGGCTGCTACTGTGGTGGTTGCTGTGGACAGACTTGCTGCTGTGGTGATTGGCTACGTGGTGGTGTGCTAGTGGTGTCCCGCACTGTTTCTATGGTGATAATGGGGCCTCGCACTGTTGCTATGGTGATATTGAAGGTGCTGGGTGCTGCTGCATGGGTGGCGGTGCCAGGGGCTGTTGGGTGCTTCAGTTGCCATGGTGATGCCGTTGGCAGGTGCAGCGTCTCTGGTACTGTTGACGTGTTGTGCAAGTACGTGGAACTGCTGATTCCGTAGTGGTGGTGGTGCTGGGCGATACTGCTGGGGTAGTCGCGGTGCTGGGCGATACTGCAGATGTGATGGCGATCCTGGGTTCTGCCTGTGGTGCTGTGGTGGAGGTGCAGGGTGCCGCTCCGGTTGTGGTGGTGCCGGTTCTGGCTGATTCTGCTGGGGTAGTGGCGGTGCTGGGCGATACTGCTAATGTGATAGCGATCCTGGGTTCTGCTGACGCTGCTGTGGTGAAGGTGCTGGGTGCCACCCCCGTAGTGGCGGAGGTGCTGGCCGCTGCTGCTGGGGTAGTGGCGGTGCTTGCCGCTGCTGCTGGGGTGGTGGCGGTGCTGGCCGCTGCTGCTGGGGTGGTGGCGGTGCTGGGTTCTGCTGGTGCTGCTGTGGTGAAGGTGCTGGTTGCCACTCCCGTAGTGGTGGAGGTGCTTGCCGCTGCTGCTGGGGTAGTGGCGGTGCTTGCCGCTGCTGCTCGGGTAGTGGCGGTGCTGGCCGCTGCTGCTGGGGTAGTGGCGATCCTGTGTTCTGCTGGTGCTGCTGTGGTGAAGGTGCTGGTTGCCACTCCTGTAGTGGCGGAGGTGCTTGCCGCTGCTGCTGGGGTAGTGGCGGTGCTGGCCGCTGCTGCTGGGGTAGTGGCGATCCTGGGTTCTGCTGGTGCTGCTGTGGTGAAGGTGCTGGATGCCACTCCCGTAGTGGCGGAGGTGCTTGCCGATGGTGCTGGGGTAGTGGCGGTGCTTGCCGCTGCTGCTGGGGTAGTGGCGGTGCTGGCCGCTGCTGCTGGGGTAGTGGTGATCCTGGGTTCTGCTGGTGCTGCTGTGGTGAAGGTGCTGGTTGCCACTCCCGTAGTGGCGGAGGTGCTTGCCGCTGCGGCTGGGGTAGTGGCGGTGCTTGCCGCTGTTGCTGGGGAAGTGGCGATCCTGGGTTCTGCTGGTGCTGCTGTGGTGAAGGTGCTGGTTGCCACTCCCGTAGTGGCGGAGGTGCTGGCCGCTGCTGCTGGGGTAGTGGCGGTGCTTGCCGCTGCTGCTGGGGTAGTGGCGGTGCTGGCCGCTGCTGCTGGGGTAGTGGCGGTGCTGGCCGCTGCTGCTGGGGTAGTGGCGATCCTGGGTTCTGCTGGTGCTGCTGTGGTGAAGGTGCTGGTTGCCACTCCCGTAGTGGCGGAGGTGCTTGCCGCTGGTGCTGGGGTAGTGGCGGTGCTTGCCGCTGCTGCTGGGGTATTGGCGATTCTGGGTTCTGCCGGTGCTGCTGTGGTGAAGGTGCTGGTTGCCACTCCCGTTGTGGCGGAGGTGCTTGCCGCTGCTGCTGGGGTAGTGGCGGTGCTGGCCGCTGCTGCTGGGGTAGTGGCGATCCTGGGTTCTGCTGGTGCTGCTGTGGTGAAGGTGCTGGTTGCCACTCCCGTAGTGGCGGAGGTGCTTGCCGCTGGTGCTGGGGTAGTGGCGGTGCTTGCCGCTGCTGCTGGGGTAGTGGCGATGCTGGCCGCTGCTGCTGGGGTAGTGGCGATCCTGGGTTCTGCCGGTGCTGCTGTGGTGAAGGCGCTGGTTGCCACTCCCGTAGTGGCGGAGGTGTTTGCCGCTGCTGCTGGGGTAGTGGCGGTGCTGGCCGCTGCTGCTGGGGTAGTGGCGATCCTGGGTTCTGCTGGTGCTGCTGTGGTGAAGGTGCTGGTTGCCGATCCCGTAGTGGCGGAGGTGCTTGCCGCTGCTGCTGGGGTTGTGGCGGTGCTTGCCGCTGCTGCTGGGGTAGTGGCGGTGCTGGCCGCTGCTGCTGGGGTAGTGGCGATCCTGGGTTCTGCTGGTGCTGCTGTGGTGAAGGTGCTGGTTTTTTTTTTTTTTTTTTTTTTTTTTTTTTTTTGAAGGTTTACCAAAATTTTTTTTTTTTTTTTTTTTGACAGTGAGGAAAATGTTATCAACTCCAAAGCACGAAAAAGGCCAAAAACTAAACCAAGAACATATGCAATAACATGTTATTTATAAAGACAGGACAAGTGAATAATTAGTCAGTCCATTGTTCATGATGATCTCCGACGGTTACGTCGGCAAGCGAGCCTCCGCCACTGCCAAAGCAGCGTGGGCTCCGCAGGAGGGTGCAAATTTCAAACCAAAATTTAAACGCCTACAACCGCGAATGCACATGATACAGGATTTCAGAAGGCTGAAGGAAATCCTGCATCTAACAAATGCCATAACATGAGAGTAATGCTCACCCCTCTTCTCCGCCAACAGATGAGCAATTCGTTTGTACAGTGCTGTTGATGCTGGACCCATTCCGCCACTGGCTGACATGACCGCCGGAACAAAGGAGGCTTGCTCAACCTGCCTCACCCGCTCCTCATAGTGCCTTCTCTTTTCTTTTTCATGTCGCTGATACACAATAGTATGTGGTGCAGATCGATTTGAGCGTGAGTGAGGATTAAAAACCCGTATATCAATAAGTGTACGCTCAAAACGACTGCCCCACAAACCATTGGCAACGACATCCAACCGGGCACGGTCTTCCACATTTGCGGTCCGGTAGCGAAGACGCTCCCCCGTCAGCGGTTGCAGCAAGGGCTCGATGGACACACTGGTGCACACCTCGTCCAGCAGCCGGGCCGTGACGTCCCGAATACCATTGTGTCTAATGGAGGGAAACCCTCCATAGGGGCACGACAGGGAATGCGCGACAGTTGCCTCTTGGCCGCAAGAGCAGTGTGACGGTACCCTGGCCGGTGTCCATCCGTAACGGAGGCAGAGTCCGTCCCAAAACTCTCCCTTTGTTAAATTAAAATGATATTTCTTAAGTGGACGGCACGTCAGCCAGCTCGACGACCCTTTCTCCTTCGCGACGTCTATGACATGTCGTAGCGACTCCGACGCACTGCCCGATATCGCGTCGAATTCCAGTTTCTGATGACGTCGAGAAGATGCCTTGGCGTCTCTCTTGGCCGATCTGATTAACACTACCGAGTCACCGATGGAGCCATCCCCTGACAAGATTCTCCGAGACAAAAGGTTGGTCATCCGAACCGACGAGTCGTATTGTTGGCATAGGGACACAGGGTTAATCAAACCGAGCCCACCCAGACGACACGGCAAAGCCATAAGCCGTCGGAGGGTGTCGCCTGGGGGTGCACGGCAAGTTAAGGCGGGAATCAGTTCAGACTTCACAATGTCCTCCAGCGGTTGGAACATGGGTTCGGGTACCTTCATGGTACGACAGAGGAACGCCCATCTACCCCTGAGGCCCGTCACATACGCAGAATACGCAGCCTGCGGCTGGGTTTGTGCAAATACTGCTAGCTTCTTCAGTTCCCCCATCCATTCGTCCACCTTTGTTTTGATATAGCTTTGAAGAAAGCTGTCCCTTCCGATTGCTGCGCCAAGATATCGTGATCCCTCGTCCGTTATCATTACACCAGTGTCTCGAAACAATTCAGTCGCCTCCTGGTAACACCTTTCCTTGACGACAAGGACCGATTTCTTTGGGTTTACGTAATATCCATATGCCGGTCCTCTCTTGTCCATTATGTCCCACCATAGACGGAGTCTGCGAAGACGAGCAGCAGCGGATGAATCGTCCGCGAACCATGACTGCACCGCACCCGCCTCATCCGCCAAACGTATCAAGGGCATTATTCCCAACGCGTACATGTACATTGCTCCCGTAGTGGCGGAGGTGCTTGCCGCTGGTGCTGGGGTAGTGGCAGTGCTTGCCGCTGCTGCTGGGGTAGTGGCGATTCTGGGTTCTGCCGGTGCTGCTGTGGTGAAGGTGCTGGTTGCCACTCCCGTTGTGGCGGAGGTGCTTGCCGCTGCTGCTGGGGTAGTGGCGGTGCTGGCCGCTGCTGCTGGGGTAGTGGTGATCCTGGGTTCTGCTGGTGCTGCTGTGGTGAAGGTGCTGGTTGCCACTCCCGTAGTGGCGGTGGTGCTTGCCGCTGGTGCTGGGGTAGTGGTGATGCTTGCCGCTGCAGCTGGGGTAGTGGCGGTGCTGGCCGCTGCTGCTGGGGTAGTGGCGATCCTGGGTTCTGCTGGTGCTGCTGTGGTGAAGGTGCTGGTTGCCACTCCCGTAGTGGCGTGGGTGCTTGCCGCTGGTGCTGGGGTAGTGGCGGTGCTTGCCGCTGCTGCTGGGGTAGTGGCGATCCTGGGTTCTGCTGGTGCTGCTGTGGTGAAGGTGCTGGTTGCCACTCCCGTAGTGGCGGAGGCGCTTGCCGCTGGTGCTGGGGTAGTGGCGGTGCTTGCCGCTGCTGCTGGGGTAGTGGCGATGCTGGCCGCTGCTGCTGGGGTAGTGGCGATCCTGGGTTCTTCCGGTGCTGCTGTGGTGAAGGTGCTGGTTGCCACTCCCGTAGTGGCGGAGGTGCTTGCCGCTGCGGCTGGGGTAGTGGCGGTGCTTGCCGCTGCTGCTGGGCAATTGGCGATCCTGGGTTCTGCTGGTGCTGCTGTGGTGAAGGTGCTGGTTGCCACTCCCGTAGTGGCGGAGGTGCTTGCCGCTGCTGCTGGCGTAGTGGCGGTGCTTGCCGCTGCTGCTGGGGTAGTGGCGGTGCTGGGCGATACTGCTTATGTGATGGCGATCCTGGGTTCTGCTGGTGCTGCTGTGGTGAAGGTGCGGTGTGCCACTCCCATGGTGGTGAAGGTGCTGGGTGCCACTCCTGTGGTGGTGAAGGTGCTGGGTGCCAACCCCGTGGTGGTGATAGAGATACTGGGTGCCTCTCCCGTGGTGGTGACGGTGCTGGGTGCCAACCCCGTGGTGGTGGAGATGCTGGGTGCCACTCCCGTGGTGGTGACGGTGCTAGGTCCTGCTTCTGTGATTTCGGTGCTGATTCTTTGATGTTAGCAAAAGATGCTGCATCTGCTTCAGAAGCACCTTCGATGCCTGGTAATGGCTGCTCTATGTCTGATACATTCTTAGCATGCCATGAAGGAGAACAGCCAGGCTTTGGAGACTTGAAATATATGCCTCCTGGGTGACATCTCTTATGGCGCCTCAAGTGTGAAGTTCGAGCGAAGGCCTGACCACAGCCTTGATGATCGCATGTAAAGGGGAGTTCCCCTGTGTGCTGGCGCAAGTGCATATTGAGGTATTCGTTACACGTGTACGTTTTGCCACATCCCTCCCAAAGGCAACGGCATTCAGCGGGGTCTTGCTTCTTCCTGCTTCTGTATGATCCTTCTTTCAGGTGTTGCTTCCAGATGTGAAGTCGAAGTTCTCGGCCAGCTGTGCAGAGCTGATCACAAGCGCTACCTGCACCGTTGGGCACACGCCACTGGCACATCTGGTTTGTTGAAGCTGGTTGGGGTACCACGCGATCCCGATTTTGACTATCATCGGCCTCTTCCGGCATCACAGCATCAGCAGTAGCGTTCGTCGCCATCATTCCTTCTACGAAACCAACGGTAGTAGAACTCCCTCCAACCTTCGGCATACGAGGAAAAAGTACTCTTACAGGGCACAGCTCTTGGTCTGCTCACAAGTACGTTATGGTCGGCAGCAATCTGCAAGGACTAACTCGATCGTAGTGAATGGTTTACCAGATATGGAGAATGGTCGTCTTGGTATTCTGGACAAAGTAGGCACTCTTAAACAGTGCACGACGAATACAGTCAACCAGTGTTTCCTAAAGTCGAAAACGAACGTAGAAGTCTAGGGAACAGTACAACTAAACCTCCTTTGTGAAATTGACAACAATTGTACCTAGTGGTGAACTATGCTTTAACTATGCTTTTGTATTTCAAAAAGTGTGAGTTGCCGGTAATGGTATGAATGTGGTGATGGATCTGGTAGTGAGTATAGTGGTCTACTAGGGCAGAGGCTAGGTGGTGAGAATAGATCGTGACCGTTTGGGTAGAAGTGCATGATTGTGTGAGAGATAAAGTTGTTACAGTGCAATCAACACACGCTTTTAAGAAAACTCTCCATTTTGCATGCACGTAGTTTTGCGAAGTACGAGGGAAAATGGGAGGAACCCGTGATGCGACACAGCTTACAGGCGTATTCACGGAACTCAAACATCTGATGGATCACAAAGTGTCAATGGGAACATAAAAGGTAGCAATGTAGGAATGGGAGGATAATAGCGCTTAGTCACTGGTGAGAAATAGATACGTGTACGAGCATGGAGTGTAACTTCATAGCATCCCCTCTAATATAACGGTGGTATTAAATAATAAACTCAAGCTCTCGGGCTTCGATGCAACACCACTCACACAGAAACAAACAAATTCCAAAACAAGAAGGTATCATGACCACACTGCTACATACACGCCATCTTGTGAACAAAGATGCAAGTTTATGCATGAATAAATTGTCACGCATAATTCCTCACCCTCAAACAAAAGCTCAAATATTATAAGTCGGCGAGCTTTCTAGATATACTCTACAGCCATCTTTGTCACCACTGTGACGTCACTATACTGTGTAGCGTGTAGTCACTTTTCTTTTAGCGCCACTTATTCTGTGTATCTCGCTTTCTCCTTGTGATTCACTTAGCCGGTAGAGTTCATAATTATCACCTCCGTTCTAAACTATTTCATTCGTGTTGATTTGTCACACATGAGTTCGTGAGTGTACACACATTGCGCCCATAGCCGTTTAAGCCGGGGTTCAAACCCTGCTTCTATCAAGTTATATACGAAACAAGGCTTGTCATTAGCAACGTCTAGCCTTTATGGAGTGTGCCTGGTGCAGTGTTGTGTTCGTGCTGGTGTCTGCAAGCTTCCTCTGGTCTCGTCTGGTCTCGTCTGGTCTCGTCTGGTCTCGTCTGGTCTCGTCTGGTCTCGTCTGGTCTCGTCTGGTCTCGTCTGGTCTCGTCTGGTCTCGTCTGGTCTCGTCTGGTCTCGTCTGGTCTCGTCTGGTCTCGTCTGGTCTCGTCTGGTCTCGTCTGGTCTCGTCTGGTCTCGTCTGGTCTCGTCTGGTCTCGTCTGGTCTCGTCTGGTCTCGTCTGGTCTCATCTCGGCTCGTCTCGTCTCGTTCCGTCTCGTCTCGTCTCGTCTCGTCTCGTCTCGTCTCGTCTCGGCTCGTCTCGTCTCGTCTCGTCTCGTCTCGTCTCGTCTCGTCTCGTCTGGCCTCGTCTCGTCTCGTCTCGTCTCGTTTGGTCTCGTCTCGTCTCGTCTCGTCTCGTCTCGTTTGGCCACAAGAACATCTACTACTAGCCATGACCATGGGAAACACGACAAGCGCAGATAGGTGACACACCACGTGTGTTTGTCACCACTTGCCCGGGTCAAGTCTTACCCCGTAGCCCTTAGCGGATAATTCTCGATAACTTGGCAGATTCCGTTCGAACAGCAGTGAAATTGGCAGAGCCATACACACCTTATGACAGGTAGGATTTTTTTTTACTGAATACCACAGTACCATCAGATGCTGCACAGCGGGGGCGGTGGCATATTGGATGGAAGTGGGGGCGGGGCAAAAGTAACTCCTCCGCCCAAAGGTCTCGGAATCATCGTTACTCCTGTGCGCCGATACATAGGAGAAAAGAAACATGTGCATCCAAGAGGGAAGCACCGGCTTTGCAAATAATAATGGGGAGAATTTGAGATTGAGATAGGACAAAACAATAGTAAAAGCAGTGCACCGTAGGAAGATGGAGAGAACTGATAATCGGATTTTAAGGCTGAGCGAAGGGGATCAAAGAGGGGTAGAAGGGAGCTGGAGTGCGGTCAGTATAATTAGGCTGGTGTGTTGGCAGAGTAAGCGGATTATGCTCAGAAAATGACCGTTTGTTGCTAAAATATCTGCTCAATTATAGGTTTCATGTATTTGCCATGAGATAATGATATAAATACAAATACAAAATACCAGATTGTGCTCTAGTGGATGCTCGCAGGATGCTCGAGAAAACAGCTAATTATGCCTTCATATGTTTCACCAAAAATACTAAAAGAACAGAGAGCGATCGGTTCGGCATCCGGAGTCTGCTGAGCTGGTTGTTGCCGAGGCCCAGGTTGCTCGAATGTGAGAATCTATAAATTGCAGCAGATTATTTTTATACTAAATAGTAAATACTGGACATGGATACTGAATAACTGTACTCAGTGACTCTTTACATTACAGGCTACGTTTTACTGTAATTATCGAGCTTTTTGTACTTAGATCAAATAGCAACCATACCAATGCCTTGACCAGGGGACAGTCCGCCCTGGCTTTAGCAATGCATAATGCTTCGTCACAGTACGGTTTCTATGCTTTGCCTTACCTGGCTGCTGACAGGTGGGATTCGCTTCCAGCAGCATGCCACCAGGCAGCCTCCTTTGCAATGTTCAACAGTACTCTTCGCAGCCTCTTTTGCAACACATAATGGCACAGTATTCAGCCACCGTTTTCTTTTTTCTTTACTCTATTTCACGCACTTACGGCTTTCTTCATTCAGCTCTATTTCACGCATTTACCTAGGGTACCCTGTAAAAAGACTCACAGTCTGTGGGGATTGCCCTAGTAAAATAATAAATACTACTACTACTATTATTATGGCAATAAGTAGGACGAGCTGAAGCGACATGTGGACTACTTTATTAACAATGTAAGCGATGGAGACGATGCAAGAAACAATCTTAAGGGTAAGGAAAATACATGTAAGAAGAAAAAGGGCAATGGAAAAAAAGATGATTCGAACAAGTTTTTGTACAACACTCTTCAGGAATCACCGTTGTAAGGTAGGGTGACACGATACAATGACAACACTGGAATATTTTTTTTTGCAAATTTGCACGCTTTTGTGAGAAATCGCACCTCGATATTCCAGTGCTGTCATTGTATCGTGTCACCCTACCTTGATTGCTATATTATTTCCTTTGTTCTCATTTTGTTCTTTAGTACAACGGTGATTCCTGAAGAGTGTTGTACGAAAACTTGTTCGAATCATCTTTTTTTCCATTGCCCTTTTTCTTCTTACATGTATTTTCCTTACCCTTTAGATTGTTTCTTGCATCGTCTCCATCGCTTACATTGTTAATAAAGTAGTCCACATGTCGCTTCAGCTCGTCCTACTTATTGCCATATTAAAATTATTGTCTCCTCGTCGAATTTTTAACTACTATTATTGTAAAGCTTTCCTCTTGATCTTATCTCTTATTGTTGTGACGTTTCCACAATATTTATTGTGGTGCATTGTTAAAAAAAACAAAAACAAAAACAAACAGATAATGGTCATGAAAAAAGAACTCAGACCATTGTCATGATGTGGACTGGGAGCTTTCTGCATGTACAATACACTGAAACCTGTCTAAGACGACCGCTCGAGGGACCATCAAAACGTGGTCTCTGTTACCAGGTGGTCTCTTTATCCAGGATCATTTGACTGGAAATCAGATCCCTTGGTCCTGGGTTCAGTGGTCTTCTAGGACAGGTGGTCGCCTTGTCCGAGTGGTCGCCTTGACAGGTTTTACTGTACAATTATGCAAGAGGAATACCAAATTCACAAGCAAACGCTGAACGTTTGGGAGGTGTCCTATAGGGGCTGCTAAAATATTATTCCAAATCGACAAGAAGCGATATGTTACTACGTGTATAGGCTTTCCGCAAATCGGCCGAAAAATTCGCCAACAACGACATTTGCCGAAAAATCGCTAAGCTTTTCGCGGATAACGGAGTGTTCCTTTGAGAATCACCAGAAATCTACCAAAATTATTGAAGTTGTCGCAAAGTGCGTTTATGAACGAATGATGTTGCTGCAAGCATGACCGCTCGAGTTAAGGCAGTAAGTCTGGACAGGACCTAACTACTTCTGTACTTGTACTGTGACAAGTCGTAGTACTAGTGCGTTGAGATGGTGTGACTCGTGTCTTTGACCTCCTCTCAAACAAACATCAGCCATTGGCATTAGGAATATCGTTACTAGTAAAATACTATGCTACAATGTAGCAGAGCTGTATTTCCAATATCTCACCAATTTTGAAGCCAATATTCCAACAATTCTTTTAGCCTATTTTCCAATATATTCCAATTTTTCAGCCGATTTTGGAACAATCGGCTGATGTTTCAGCCGAATCTGATGTAAATTTGAGCTAGGTGAAAAGCCGAATACATGTACTAGTTGGCGAAAAAACGGGCCGATTTGGAAAAAGCCTAGCTATCTATGGTCCTTCAATAGCAGGTATGTATAACAGCCTCATTGGGCATCTGCACTTGTTTTTCGAATGCCACACTTTGCTCCTTCTCAAAAGGACATGATTATGCCAAATAGTTTGCATTCAATTTAATCAATTATGCCTTCTATAGCAGGTGTGTATAATTAGAATTTATAACAGCCTCATAGGGCATCTGCCCTTGTTTTTCGGATTCCATTTTATACTCCTTCTCAAAAGGACATTATTATGATAAATAGAATGCCTTCACGAACTTAGAAGTTCGCGACTTCGGCGGTAATAGTCATGAAGTTGATTGTTCCAACTAGGAACATACGCTTCTTGCCGAACTTGACACTTGACTGACTCACGACTGCCATCCGGAGCACACGAGGAGCACGTCGCACCTTCCTCTCGGCAAACCTGCAAGAAAGCACCACTCTCTGCTCAAACACTGCGAAAAGGTACCGGTGTGAAGCAAATCCCTGCCAAAAGTCGCGCTGAGAAGCGACTTCTCTGTGAATTGTCCAGGCTGCGAACGGTCCACCTTGAGGTGTCGCGCGATGAAACGTCGGGGTGCGAATCGGTTCTCGACGAACTGCCGCATAACCATCTGTGGTTCACGAGGTGTTTCCCGCGCTGGAAACGGAGCATCTCAGTAAGTTTGTATCCCTGGTGATGTTTGTGCCTGGAGAGCACTATATAAGTGGTGCTCTTCAGGCACAATCTTCCTCAGCCTACTCAAGCTCAACTGATGAGGGGTGAATTCCCCGAAACACTGTGTATTGAGCAGGGAGTGGTGCTTTCTTGCAGGTTTGCCGAGTCGAAGGTTCGATGGACTTCTCGTGTGCTCTGGATGGCAGTCGTGAGTCAGTCAAGTGTCAAGTCAAGTCCGCGGAATAGCGCGAGCTCCAGTGTGGGAGCAAACCCATTCCAGATGTAGTTGGAGAATTCAGTGCTGCTGGAGTACTTTTCGTATCTTGTTGTTGTCATGTGGTTGTCATGGCGTGACTTTTACGGTGGCGCCGACATACCGGTGCATTCCTTCTTGGTGGGGCCTGACGTTATGGATGATACATAGATCCGCTCCGTGGTTTGGCATTCCCCGTTGTGAGGACAAGATGGCTTGTCACGGCAGTTGCAGGCCTTTTCCGGTTTTTTCGTTTGCAGGCGGAGACCCACTTTGTTGTGGCTTTAGATGGGTGTAGCCATATTTGGCATGCAACTGTAGCTGATCTTGATGGTGTTGTTTGTGAAAATTTTCCGGGTTTTGACTGTGGGGGGAAGAGTTTCTTGATGAGGGCAAGGAATCTTCCACCAATGTTTGTTTTCAAGTCACGGCTGTAGGTCGGCTTGTACCATATCATTCTCCTCTTCCTTTTCATTCTTTTTGCTCGTTTACTGATGGGACAAGGGCCAATTTCGCAACAACTAACAACTGTCGGTTTATGGTTTTGAGATTCTACGGACCTCTTGTCCCACCAACAATTGGCTCCACAAATATGAAAATACTGTTTGTGAACACAAAATACCACAAAGTCGTCTTTGCACACTGAAGGTTTGGTCTAAACCTAAATACAACTGAGGTATTACGACAAACAAACGAACATATGACGGAACAGGATTGCGACAACAAGAAACGACATCAAAGACAGCTATAGCAGAGAAGACTCTGGCCAAGAAGTTCTTATCGGCGCCTCATGCTAGTGATAAAATCCAGCACGATTATCTGAAAGACACTTATAAAATGGTAGGATATGCGAGACACATGAAGAAAAGACGTGAAGAGTTCGACAAAGATGGGTGTTAAGTAGAAGTAGAAGGCGCATACCTCGCCATTGAGACATCCTGAACCCTTTTGTGATTGTGGGTTAGCCAACAGTGACAAGTCGGCAGCTATTTCAAATTTTATCAATGAACTTGTATCTACTAATGACTCAACTATCTACTATTGTTTCGTTACACTGATGTCTTGGGAAGGCTAGATGTGTGAACGCAGGTTGTGAGCGTTGTGACTAAGCTGCTGTTCATCAGCATCACGTGACCAGGTGGCTATGATCACAATCATGCGGAAGAGTAAGCTGTGCTTGGAAATCTTGTCGGTGGTGACGCTAGATGCAAACTGTTTATAGTGCTGTGTATGGTGTTTCTACTACTCGGGATAATGCTAGTGGTAAAGGTGATGCTGCTGTTTCTGAGGCGTGGGATGCTGCCATTTTGGTGTCAGTGGCAGTGAAATCGGCTGCTACTGTGGTGGTTGCTGTGCACGGACTTGCTACTGTGGTGACTGGCTACGTGGTGGTGTGGTAGTGGTGCCCCGCAGTGTTTCTATGGTGATGATCGGGCCCCGCACTGTTGCTCTGGTGATATTGAAGGTGCTGGGTGGTGGAAGTGAAGGTGCTGGGTGGTGGTAGTGAAGGTGCTGGGTGGTAGTAGTGAAGGTGCTGGGTCCTGCTGTATGGTTGGCGGTGTCAGGGGCTGTTGGGTGCTTCAGTTGCCATGGTGGTGGTGTTGGCAGGTGCAGCGTCTCTGGTGGTGCAAGTACGGGGACCTGCTGATTCCGTAGTGGTGGTGGTGCTGGGTGATACTGCTGGGGTAGCGGTGGTGAGGAGGATACTGCTAGGGTAGTGGCGGTGCTTGGTGCTGCTGCTGATGTGATGGCGATCCTGGATCCTGCTGGTGCTGATGTGGTGAAGGTGCTGGATGCCCCTCCAGCGGTGGTGGAGGTGCTGGGCTCCAACCCCATGGTGGTGGAGGTGCTGGATGCCAACCCCATGGTGGTGGAGGTGCTGGGTTCCAACCCCATGGTGGTGGAGGTGCTTGGTGCCAACCCCATGGTGGTGGAGGTGCTGGGTTCCAACCCCATGGTGGTGGAGGTGCTTGGTGCCAACCCCATGGTGGTTGAGATGCTGGGTGCCAACCCAATGGTGGTGGAGGTGCTGGGTTCCAACCCCATGGTGGTGGAGGCGCTTGGTGCCAACCCCGTGGTGGTGGAGGTGCTGGGTGCCAATCCCGTGGTGGTGACGGTGCTGGGTCCTGCTTCTGTGATTGCGGTGCAGATTCTATACTGTTAGCAAAAGATGCAGCATCTGCTGCTTCAGAAGCACCTTTGATGCCTGGTAATGGCTGTTCTATGTCTGATACACTCTCAGCATGTGATGAAGGAGAACAGCCAGACTTTGGAGACTTGAAATGTATGCCTCCTGGGTGCCATTTCTTATGGTTCCTCAAGTTTGAAGCTCGAGTGAAGGCCCGACCACAGCCTTGATGATTGCATATAAAGGGGAGTTCACCTGTGTGCTGGCGCAAGTGCACATAGAGATATTCGTAACTCTTGTATGTCTTGCCACATCCCTCCCAAAGGCAACGGCATTTACCGGCGTCTTGCGGCTTCCTGCTTTTGTGTGATCTTCCTTTCATGTGTTGCTTCCAGATGTGTAATCGAAGTTCTCGGCCAGTTGTGCAGAGCTGATCACAAGCGCTACCTGCACCGTTGGGCACACACCACTTGCACACCTGGTTTGTTGAAGCTGGTTGGGGTACCATGCGATCCTGATTTTGACTATCGTCGGCCTCTTCCGGCATCACAGCATCAGCAGCAGCGTTCGTCGCCATTACTCCTTCTACGAAACCAACGGTAGTAGAACTCTCTCCAACCTTCGGCACACGAGGAAAAAGTACTCTTGCAGGGCACAGCTCTTGGTCAGCTCACAAGTGCGTTATGGTCCGCAGCAATCTGCAAGGACTAACTCGTAGTGAATGGTTTACCAGATATGGAGAATGGTCGTCTTGGTATTCTGGACAAAGTAGGCACTCTTAAACAGTGCACGACAAATACAGTCAACCAGTGTTTCCTAAAGTCGAAAACGAACGTAGAAGTCTAGGGAACCGTACAACTAAACCTCCTTTGTGAAATTGGCAGCAATTGCACCTAGTGGTGAACTATGCTTTAACTATGCTTTTGTATTTCAAAAAGTGTGAGTTGCCGGTAATGGTATGAATGTGGTGATGGATCTGGTAGTGAGTATAGTGGTCTACTAGGGCAGAGGTTAGGTGGTGAGAATAGATCGTGACCGTTTGGGTAGATGTGTAGGATTGTATGAGAGATTAAGTTGCTACAGTGGAATCAACACACGCTTTTAAGAAAACTCTCCATTTTGCACGCACGTAGTACTGCGAAGTACGAGGGAAAATGGGAGGAAGCCGTGATGCGACACAGCTTACAGGCGTTGTCACGGAACTCAAACATCTGATGGATCACAAAGTGTCAATGGGAACATAAAAGGTAGCAATGTAGGAATGGGAGGATAATATCGCTTAGTCACTGGCGAGAAATAGATACGTGTACGAGCATGGAGTGTAATCTTCATAGCATCCTCTCTAATACAACGGTGGTATTAAAGCATAAGAAACTCAAACTCTCGGGTTTCGATGCAACACCACTCACACAGAAACAAACAAATTCCAAAACAAGAAGGTCACATGACCACACTGCTACATACAAGCCATCTTGTGAACAAAGGTGCCAATTTATGCATGAATAAATTGTCACGCGTAATTCCTCACCCTCGAACAAAAGCTCAAATATTATAAGTCGGCGAACCTTCTAGTTATACTCTACACCCATATTTGTCACCACTGTGACGTCACTATACTTTGTGGCGTGTGGTCACTTATCTTTTAGCGCAACCTTTTCTGTGTACCTCTCTTTCTCCTTGTGATTGACTTAGCACCTGTGATAGTTGTGTCGGTAGGGTTCACAACACCTCCGTTCTAAACTATTTCATTCGTGTTGATTTGTCACACATGGGTACGTGAGTGTACACACATTGCGTCCATAGCCGTATAAGCCGGGGTTCAAACCACGCTTCTATCAAGTTATACATGTATATGTACTTCTATTCAAAACATGCTTCTACGTCAACATCATCAGTGTACATGTGCAATGTGCAGTGCACACTGCCACGCATGTACCGGCTTCTAGTATAGGCATGCTTTTATACGGGACTCTATTAGTTTTGTAGTTACTGACAAGGCAAAATACAGCGATATCTTCTATAAAACAATACTAGTATAATTTAGTTCAAACCATTTCATTCAATATTTACCTCTCATCTGATGAGTTCCAACATCATAATGGAACGAAACAAGGCTTATCATTAGCAACGTCTAGCCTTTATGGAGTGTGCCTGGTGCAGTGTTGTGTTCGTGCTGGTGTCTGCAAGCTTCCTCTGGGCTCGTCTGGTCTCGTCTGGTCTCGTCTGGTCTCGTCTGGTCTCGTGTGGTCTCGTCTGGTCTCGTCTGGTCTCGTCTGGTCCCGTCTGGTCTCGTCTGATCTCGTCTGGTCTCGTCTGGTCTCGTCTCGTCTCGTCTCGTCTCGGCTCGTCTCGTCTCGTCTCGTCTCGTCTCGTCTCGGCTCGTCTCGTCTCGTCTCGTCTCGTCTCCTCTCGTCTCGTCTCGGCTGGTGTCGTCTGGTCTCGTCTCGTCTCGTCTGGTCTCATCTCGGCTCGTCTCGTCTGGTCTCGTCTCGTCTCGTCTCGTCTCGTCTCGTCTCGTCTCGTCCCGTCTCGTCTGGTCTCGTCTGGTCTCGTCTGGTCTCGTCTCGTCTCGTCTCGTCTCGTCTCGTCTCGTCTCGTCTCGTTTGGTCTCGTCTCGTCTCGTCTCGTCTCGTTTGGCCACAAGAACATCTACCACTAGCCATGACCATAGGAAACACCACAAACGCAGATAGGTGACACCACTTGTGTTTGTCACCACTTGCCCGGGTCAAGTCTTACCCAGTAGCCCTTAGCGGATAATTCTCGATAACTTGGCAGATTCCGTTCGAACAGCAGTGAAATTGGCAGAGCCATACACACCTTATGACAGTTAGGAGTTTTTTTTTTTTTTTACTGAATACCACAGTACCATCAGATGCTGCACAGCGGGGGCGGTGGCATATTGGATGGAAGTGGGGGCGGGGCAAAAGTAACTCCTCCGACCAAAGGTCTCGGAATCATCGTTACTCCTGTGCACCGATACATAGGAGAAAAGAAACATGTGCATCCAAGAGGGAAGCACCGGCTTTGCAAATGATACTGGGGAGAATTTGAGATTGAGATAGGACAAAACAATAGTAAAAGCAGTGCACCGTAGGAAGATGGAGAGAACTGATAATCGGATTTTAAGGCTGAGCGAAGGGGATCAAAGACGGGTAGAAGGGAGCTGGAGTGCGGTCAGTATAATTAGGCTGGTGTGTTGGCAGAGTAAGCGGATTATGCTCAGAAAATGACCGTTTGTTGCTAAAATATCTGCTCAATTATAGGTTTTATGTATTTGCCATGAGATAATGACATAAATACAAATACAATATACCAGATTATGCTCTAGTGGATGCTCGCAGGATGCTAGAGAAAACAGCCGATTATGCCTTCATATGTTTCACCAAAAAGACTAAAAGAACAGAGAGCGATCGGTTCGGCATCCGGAGTCTACTGAGCTGGTTGTTGCCGAGGCCCAGGTTGCTCGAATGTGAGAATCTATAAATTGCAGCAGATTATTTTTATACTAAATAGTAAATACTGGACATGGATATTGAATAACTGTACTCAGTGACTCTTTACATTTTACAGGCTACGTTTTACTGTAATTATCGAGCTTTTTGTACTTAGATCAAATAGCAACCATACCAATGCCTTGACCAGGGGACAGTCCGCCCTGGCTTTAGCCCCGCCTAATGCTTCGTCACAGTACGGTTTCTATGCTTTGCCTTACCTGGCTGCTGACAGGTGGAATTCGCTTCCAGCAGCATGCCGCCAGGCAGCCTCCTTTGCAATGTTCAACAGTACTCTTCGCAGCCTCTTTTGCAACACATAATGGCACAGTATTCAGCCACCGTTTTCTTTTTTCTTTACTCTATTTCACGCACTTACGGCTTTCTTCATTCAGCTCTATTTCACGCACTTACCTAGGGTACCCTGTAAAAAGACTCACAGTCTGTGGGGATTGCCCTAGTAAAATAATAAATACTACTACTACTACTACTATTATTGTAAAGCTTTCCTCTTGATCTTATCTCTTATTGTTGTGACCTTTCCACAATATTTATTGTGTTGCATTGTTAAAAAAAAAACTAAAAAAAACAAACAGATAATCTGTAAGAAAGGGTTTGCTCCCCACACCGGAGCTCGCGCTATTCCGCCGACTTTACTTCCGCGAGCTCCGCGAGCTCCGGTGTGGGGAGCAAACCCTTTCTTACAAATTATCGCCGAAGTCGCAACCAATACTTCAAACAGATAATCGTCATGAAAAAAGAACTCAGACCATTGTCATGATGTGGACTGGGAGCTTTCTGCAAGTACAATACACTGAAACCTGTCTAAGACGACCGCTCGAGGGACCATCAAAACGTGGCCTCTGTTACCAGGTGGTCTCCTTATCCAGAGTCATTTGACTGGAAATCAGATCCCTTGGTCCTGGGTTCAGTGGTCTTCTAGGACAGGTGGTCGCCTTGTCCGAGTGGTCGCCTTGACAGGTTTTACTGTACAATTATACAAGAGGAATACCAAATTCACAAGCAAACGCTGAACGTTTGGGAGGTGTCCTATAGTGGCTGCTAAAATATTATTCCAAATCGACAAGAAGCGATATGTTACTACGTGTATCCAGTGTAAACTATTATTTTATCAGTGCTATATTCTCCCTGTATTCGACTATTTATTTATTTTTTTATTTTTTTTATTAATTTTATTTATGGATTCCCCAAAGGCCGAGGCCTAAGTCGAGTCGGTCTCCGTTCATGGCTTACTGGGAATATATCTGCAAAATTATAACATATAGATTGAGAAGAGGAAGGGTTATAACAAATGCATACTGCAGAAATCAGCCATACCATTCTTTGCTATGTTATAGAAACTCTGGAAGGAATGAAACCAGCGGGTTCGAAGCGGGTGTTGGCAAAGATAGTACGGACACGAGACACAAAGCAATGACTATTTTGGGTGGTTCTAATGTCAGTGGGGAGAGAATTCCAGGTGGCAGCGGTAACAAAGAGGAAGGTGGCACGCGAGTAGCTGTTCGCCCTGGCAGGCGGTACAAGTTGGAGAGGGCGCCGCGCGCTGGTGGAGAGACTATAGCCCAGCTCCATAAGGGCAGTGGTCTGGTGGTGGACCAGGTGATGGAGCTCCCGGAGGCACTGGATGTGTCGCCGCCATGCCAGACTGGGCCATTGCAGGTGCGCGAACAGAGATGCCTTCGGTTCAGTAGCGGAGGGAAACACACCGTACTGTCTCAAGACGACTCGTGCCAATCTGGCCTGCAGACGCTCAAGCACCGCCGCTTGGGATGCGGACAGTTGGAACTGCCACAGTGGCGAGGCGTATTCAATGGTGGGTCGGACATAACCAGTATAAAGCCGGTTTGTAACTTCCTGCGTTAGGCGGCTCGACATGTGGGCAAGTAGTACCACGCGTTAGCGAAATTTGGTGGTAATTGTTTCGATGTGGCACTGGAAGTTGAGGTGGCTATCAATTTGCACGCCAAGATGTCGGTGCGTGTCGACCGTGCGCACTTCTTCCTGGTTCATTCGCAGGTGCCCGATGTTTGGAGGGTCCGGTCCGTTGGTACGTGGGGAGAACGTCATTTGGAAGGACTTCGTGGGGTTAAAGCGTCCACCTGCCGAGTCGGCCCATTTCAGGGCGGCATCCGTGGCAACTTGGAGTGGGTGACTATGATGCTGGGAAGAGGGAGTGGTAGGTGCAGCGACTTCCGTTCCAATGGTCGTGTCATCGGCGAAGAGAAGAACTTGACAGTGGTCCTCATCTGGGATGGTCTGCGGGAGAGAGTTGATGTACAGAAGGAACAGGATAGGGCCGAGATGGGATCCTTGTGGTACGCCAGCGGCTATAGGGTGGGTTGTGGATACGGAGGAAGTGACTTTGACCGTGAATTGCCGGTCACCAAGGTAACTGGAGAACCACGAAAGTGCGTTCTGGGTTGCAAACGTGCCCAGATGGTAGAGGAGGACTGGATGCGACTATTGCGATACCGCTTGGTGTGGCCTTTCTGACACAACTCTGAACCAATTAGAAGTCCACCATAGATTTATACTTAAAATTCTTTACAACAAGGATCGATGTTTTCCTTCGGATGCCCTTTATCGACTTGCACACACTTCTCCTCTCTCCGTTCGTCATAAGCACCATCTCTGTACACTGGTTCATAAAATATTTCTTCATAAAACCCCTTCACACATGATGAAGTACAATTGGTTTTCAACAAGCTCAACCCGTAACGCGCTCATCCTGCCTCATGTTATGTCAGCCCAGTATCTAAAGTCCCCTTTGTTTTCCGGCTACTCTCATTGGTTATCATTACCATACGGTCTGAAAACTTGTTCTTCTATTGGTCAGTTTAAAGATCTACTATCACAACTGAACTAGACGCAATAATTATCATCGAAGAACATTCTCGAATACCTGGGTGATGCACGAACGTTGATAGTGCTCACTTCCGTTAATCGTTTTTCTTTGTAATTTTCCATTCATTTTCTGCTTTCATTCATATTTGCTTTGTTTTCCTAGCTTACTTTTGCCGTGGCTGGCTCAACGCCCTTGTCTCAGGGGATTCTGTCCCTGCATTAGCTATGCTTGTCACATGCTATGAGATTGTGTCTAATAATAATAATAGTATAGGCTTTCCGCAAATCGGCCGAAAAATTCGCCAACAACGAGATTTGCCGAAAAATCGCTAAGCTTTTCGCGGATTACGGAGTGTTCCTTTGAGAATCACCAAAAATCTACCAAAACTACCAAAACTATTGAAGTTGTCGCAAAGTGCGTTTATGAACGAATGATGTTGCTGCAAGCATGACCGCTCGAGTTAAGGCAGTAAGTCTGGACAGGACCTAACTACTTCTGTACTGTCTTGTACTGTGACAAGTCGTAGTACTAGTGCGTTGAGGTGGTGTGACTCGTGTCTTTGACCTCCTCTCAAACAAACATCAGCCATTGGCATTAGGAATATCGTTACTAGTAAAATACTATGCTACAATGTAGCAGAGCTGTATTTCCAATATCTCACCAATTTTGAAGCCAATATGCCAACAATTCTTTTAGCCTATTTTCCAATATATTCCAATTTTTCAGCCGATTTTGGAACAATCGGCTGATGTTTCAGCCGAATCTGATGTATTTTGACCTAGGCGAAAAGCCGGATACATGTACTAGTTGGCAAAAAACGGGCTGATTTGGAAAAAGCCTAGCTATGTATGGTCGTTCAATAGCAGGTGTGTATAATTAAAATTTATAACAGCCTCATTGGGCATCTGCCCTTGTTTTTCGGATTCCATTCTATACTCCTTCTCAAAAGGACATGATTATGCCAAAAGTATGCCTTCACGAACATAGAAGTTGCGACTTCGGCGGTAAAAGTCATGAAGTTGATTTTTCCAACTAGGAACACACGCTTCTTGCCGAACTTGACACTTGACTGACTCACGACTGCCATCCGGAGCACACGAGGAGCACGTCGCACCTTCCTCTCGGCAAACCTGCAAGAAAGCACCACTCCCTGCTCAAACACTGCGAAAAGGTACCGGTGTGAAGCAAATCCCTGCCAAAAGTCGCGCTGAGAAGCGACTTCTCTGTGAATTGTCCAGGCTGCGAACTTTCCACCTTGAGGTGTCGCGCGATGAAACGTTGGGGTGCGAATCGGTTCTC